GAAGGGGTGTGAGAAAGCAGCTGTGGTGGAGTTCAGCTGCATATCATGGTAAAAACACCACATTCATTTCCAAATAAGAGGCAAACTGAACAGGACCTGAAGTGTCTTCCATGCTCTAGAAGCAACATTAGTTACAGCTGTTTTCAAAGCTGCTCTTGTCTCCCACCTATCCTTTCCTTCATTTTCAACATACCCCTAAAATTTCATGGGCAGGTATATCATAATGCTTGTATTTCAACCATATGCCAACTGGGAATCTCTTTGCCCTCTCTAAATTTATTGCAGTCAACAGTTTTTTTCTGAGCCTTTCTTCAAATAACAATGGTAACCTACAGCCTACATTATTTAGCTTTGCCCATTCATGACATGTGTCTTCTCTGCCTGTAACTTTTCTTCTTCCTCCTCTGCACACTGGTGAGTGTGGAAGAGTGAGGTACAAGTCATAAAGGCTCCGTTCAGAACTGCAGCATTCTGATGTGCAAACATCACAGGAATGAAAGATGACTAACAAGTCAGAACTGCAGCCTTTGTAGGCCCTAGAGAGAGGCAGAGACCATGCTGAAAGCACCTAACGCTCCTGATGAGCCAATCCTTCAAATGTAGCTCCCATACAAACAAGGAACGGAGACATCAGTGTAACAGGAGAGCTATCTCAGGTGATTCAAACAGGTGGTACCTTCGTAGTATCCCAGTGAAGTGTATGTTCATGAGGAACACTTGGAGTAGAGAGTTCAGACAGCAGGTGTGCCCCATGTTGTAAAGTCCAACAGCTCCTGTAGGCACAAAAAAGAGGAAATGAGTTCAAAGATAGGTACAAGAAAAGAAAGTGAAAATCATTTAAGGGATGGTAAACTCCTTTTTGTACATATTCGCCCATTCTGTGCACAGGTTCAACGTCTTGCTCAGACCTTAGAGAGGGCTCAGTCTATGTTCAAGTAGATAACATTTACTTTTGTTTGGCAACTGACAGGAAAAATCCAAGTAAGCAAGGATCCTGATACTCAGATGTCTTCCTTTTTTTTTTTTTTTTTCCTCAGTTTAGAAGAAAGGAGCTAGCCTGGGAGAAGTGGAAAAAAGTCAGCTAGAGTTGTTCAAACTGCATACAAAAGAAAAGGATATTCTGTGCCCCAAAGCAATATTAGTAAATTACAATCAGAAATTATAAAGTCATCACCAAAGAGAGAGAGGGTATGGAACAGAAACTCAGAACAACTGAACTGCATACAGCTAGTGGTAATGGGGGCTGTATCTGAGACAGAACAGCATGTACACCTGAAATACCGATGACAGCCTTTGGGGGGCCAATCTAGTGATGCAGCAGAATAACCAGGACCTCGTCCATGGTTGAGCAAATCTTGAAGCAATGCTGGCTGTGCTTGGAAAGAGGACGGCATCTAGGTGTTTTCAGCTGCAGTAACCAATATGAGGACTTCAAAGGGAGAACGCCCTGAGATCCTCACATAAGCCCTTCTCAAAAAACAAAATGGTTACTTGACAGCACAAAATGAGAATCATTTCACCAAGGAATGTGACAGCACATTCCTCGGTGAAGAGGTAAAGAATAGGAGAAGATGAAACCTAAGGACAAAGAATGGAACAGAAGGCACTACAGACAGAAAATATGAGTGAAAAATAGGCAAAGCTTTATTACCATTTTTTAAGTCTGCCACACCAAAGACTAATGGTAGCCTCTGGTCTTTAGTCTTCAGCTCTTTGTTTTCCTCTTTATTATCTTCTTCTTCTGCCGTCAGGTTTTCACTTAGTGACATCTCTGGCTTTTTGCTCCTTTCTTGACGTCCACTTCTTTGGCCCATAAACAATACAGCACGACGACAGAAGAACTGCAGAAGGACACAGAAAAATGGGGATCACCCAGAAACACAAGATTTGTCTTTGTATTTGATATTTTCATGACGAAAAAGCTGAAATGTCAATAAAATTAGTATGATTACTGCAGTGACATTTGGTATGTTTGAATTAGTATGGATATAGTAGCTGTGCAGTATATCAGCACGGTAAGAGACATGGAACTCAATGGCAACTGCACATCCTGTACTCCTTGTATGACTAAATAAATGGCCTTCCAATTCCACAGAAACAGCCCCACCTAACCTGGGAACTCCAGATATACCTGTTCAAGATTTGGTGAATAAAATTATTAAAATTGTTCAAATACCCGGCGATGCAAAATTTCTCTGTTCAGTAAAACAATGCTTTAAAGCCTAAAGCACCCTAAGTATTCAAAGGGGCAAATTTTACCTTCTCTACCTTTTAATCTGATAAGCATTTGTGTTTTTTTTTTTGTTTGTTTGTTTGTTTCTGGTTGGGCTCTTCTCTGCATTGTTTTTAAGTGCCCTAGTCACAGCTCTAGAGGGGTACCTTGGACTCTAATTTTTAAAAGCATTTAAGCATCTAAGAATCACTTTCGTTTTACAATCCTTCAGGCATTACAATCCTTAAGGAACTGTTTAAAAGAGCCATAATGCCTTGATTTTAAAGGGAGTACTGAATGGACCATTTCTCTGACAGTCTCTTATGACTCAACTGCTGGCCCTTTAAAAAAAAAAATAAAAAATCACTGAACTAAAGCAAAGTAAAAATACTCAAGCAAAACAATGTGATAAATGCTCCAATGCAACTAAACAAAAATGAAACATTTTTAAGAGCCCACATTCGACATGGAAGCTGAATCAGAAAAAAATGGTATGCTTAGGGAAACACTCACAGGAAAAAAAAAATCTAGAGAAAGAGAAAGAAAGGAAAAAAATACCATATACTCAGGAATCATAACAGCATGTAAAATGAACCCGAGGTCATTCCAGGTGCAAAAAGAGTGAAGAAAATCTACCAAGAAAGGGAAATTACCAAAAAATCCTGGTTCTGCTTTTCATGAACAGAAATGTTTGTTTCAAAAGCTTGTTATTTTTCAGGTTGACTCTGCCTAATAATGCTATATTTCAAATTTTACAAAAAAATTATCATGGAAACTAGAAAACTAGAAATTATTTTTTTCCCAATTACCATTTTTAAGCTTCAGTGTATTTTTCCCAACCATCCTTTATCAAAGTTACTTTTGAACTCAAAGTGTCATACACCCAGACACGCTGAATAACATCAAATTTGCTGAAGAGATTTATCTGGGGAAAAGAAAAGAAAAGAAAAGAAAAGAAAAGAAAAGAAAAGAAAAGAAAAGAAAAGAAAAGAAAAGAAAAGAAAAGAAAAGAAAAGAAAAGAAAAGAAAAGAAAAAAAAAACCTCAGGCATTCAAACACAGATTCAAGAACATTGCTCTTTGTATTGAAAAACAGCAATTAGGACAGCTATGTGGGAAAAGTAAAATTGGATTTCAATTTCTTCTTCTACAAAACACTCTGAGCTCAGGCTGCCTTTTCCCTGGGAAGCAATTTAACCAGGCATTCAGGTTTCTGAAAGCCCAGCACACCTCTGCTTGAGCAGCAAAAGCTGGTGGGTTTAGCCGGTGTAGTATCAGCAGGAGGGTGAGCAATGCCCACAGCCAGGGAGGCCGCAGGAGGAGACAGAAAGGAGGGGAAATGGTCAGCAGAGGAGCTGAACAGCAGCTATGGGTGTGCTGGGGATGAGCAGAACTTGTGAAACACAGTTCTGGGTACAATTAAGGGCAGGATGAACAAGCAGGCGGGGCTACAAAGCTTTGGGTGATTTGAGAAATAGGTAGAAAGATGGTAGGGCAAGAAGGTGCAGGGCTCTACAGAGATGGCAGGGTTTGAAGGATTCGGCTCTGCGGTTCGATGACGCTCTCCCCCAGGCACCCTGGCACTGCTAACAGAAACCCTGGGTTGGGAGCAGGGACAGGAACAAAACTTTCCAACCCTTGCACAGAATTGCCTCGTTACGGCTATAAAAAATACAGTATTGCTAAGGTTCGCCATGACCTTCCTTTCCTGGCATAAAACGTATAAAAGGTCTGTTGCCTGGGCACGGGACTCGGGGAGCAAGCAACCCGATTTCTCCCCTCTCACTGGAGGAGCAGGGACCCTTCTCAGTTCCCTTTGCAGACGAGAGGGATGGCTCAGTCCTGCTGTACGTGGCTTGGCCGAGCCAAGCGACCACGCTAACTCCAGGCAGCGAAAAGGCGAAAGCGATGTCCGCCTCATGTCCTCCACCCCGCGATCAGCGAGCCCTCTGGCCCACCCTTTTGTCCTCCATTTCGCTCTGGCTCTGCACCAGGTCGCTGGCCTGAGGAGGGCCTCTCGGTCCCCGGTCATCAGTCACTTTTTCCTAGCATCGCCTCTCCTTTCCCCTTCTTTCCATGCCAAGGGCACGGAACTCAGCCCTGAGGGGACAGATGGTGGCCCCCAGGTGCTCCGGGGCTGGGATGGACCCGAGCCCTTCAGCTCCGTGCTTCTCATGGACACCGCTGAAATAACACTTTGCGCTGTTCTGTTTGTGTCTAGCCCGCTCCCTTTTTTATATATATATTTGTCCATTGGAGAATATTGGTTGAAACAGAAAACAGAAACCATCCCAGCCACTACAAACGCCCATCACTTGTGCTCCCTTGCCAGCATGCCCAACACCCTAGAGGGTCCAGCAGCTCAAAAGTCATTTTCATCGATGAAAAGAAACACAAGCGACCAAGCTGACGCACTACGACTGGGTGCGTGCGGCCACGCAGCCGTCCCACCACGCTCTGGCTCCCCGACCCCGAGCAGCAGCAGCCGCAGCCCCCTCACAGCTCCTACCTCTCTCAGTCGGAGCCTGGGCAGCCCCTCAGCGACCCCCCGGAGCCGCGGGCGGAGGCGGACCCTGCGGGCCGTCCCGTCGCACATCGCCCCGCTCACCTGCGGCTGCCGCGGCGGCGCTGCCCGAGCGAGACTGCGAGGCGGCTGCGTCAGAGGGCAGAGCGCCCACGGGGCCGCTCAGTTTTGATTTCCCGCTTCGCTCAGCCCAGGGACGGAAAGTGAAACTTCCCGCAGCCGCTCGCTGCGCTCCCTTCTCGCCGCCAGGGGCAGCCCCGCGGCGGGCAGAGCCGGGAGATGGCGGCGGCTCCAGCCGGGGCCCCTCCGCCGCTGCCCCTCGGCACCCTGGGCCTGCTCCGGGTGGGAAAGGGGGGGGTTGGATGGCACGGGGAGAAGCGGAGCTCTGCAGAAAGCAGGCTGGGCGTCGGCTGTGGCTGCCCCTCGGGAGGTGTGTACTGCCTGTGCCTACAGCGTTCCTCGCCTCAGCACCAGGAGTTTGTTAGCACGGTGTTGGCTTCTTGTGGCAGCGAAAGCAACGGGAAAGCCAAACTGCTCTCAAGGCACAGAAGCAAGAAATGGCTCGTTTAAAATAACCCCAAATAAGTACATGTCTTAGAAACTTAACCCGCATTCCAACCTAAAAGCCTCAGGAGTTTACTGCTTACGTGTGCCGTGCTTCCACAGTCGGATAGCTGAATGGCAGCACCATGGTAAAGACACCCCAGCAAACCCCTGTGCCGTGCGATGTCTGGTTTCAACAAGGCCGAGGATGTCCAGACCAGCAGAAGTGATGGGTGGCTGCTCCTCCAGTGTGTGCTGGGATTCCTGGCCTTCCTCTTTCTGTCAGCAGGAGGAACGGAGGGGCATGGCACCCTGGAAAGGGGCTTTGCTTGTTAGAGGATGGCCATCAGCCCGGCTTTGCCCCACATGAGGAGGCAGAAGAGCTCAGAGGTGAGTGATGCTGCCCAGCAGAGCTCTGCTGACTGAAGAAACAGTGCAGCTGAAGTAGGGCATCCTGCTATGTGTGTGAAAGAGATGGAGTCTCTGGGACCCCAGAATTGAGACTCCCCTTGCAATTTGGCAGGGCATACCTGCCTTCCCTTTATCTAGGAGCTCCAGCAGGCTGAGACAGCTAGACAGTCTCCAGACAAGCCCAAACCCTCAACCGTGCCTCTACTGAGGTTGGCAATTCCAATTCCAATGAGGCAAAAGGTGTTGCTACTTTCCACAGGCTATGGGGAGCTCCTGAAGGCCTCTGTCTCCCTTTCTTTGCTTCCTAGAACCTCACTGGTGTCTTTGGGATGCACCTTTACCCCTCAGGAAAGCCCTTTCTTTGAGCTAACACACTGAATTTGCACGTGCTGTGCAAAAGCCTTCAGCTGTTGTTTTACTAATTTACTAAATTAAGTGAATGTTACAAAAAAAAAGAGAGAGAGAAGGGAAGGAAGGAAGAAAAGAGGGAAAGGAAGGAAAGAAAGAAATGATGAGGGAAACCATGGCTTAACGTAGCCCTGCCTTACAGGCTTCTTCTCATACAATAAAAACATTTCACAGTTAGAGCCAGCACAGCTGCTGGGCAGTCAGAGCTCCTCAGCTGTGGCAGCAGTGGCAGTGAAAAGCTTCCTGAACCGCCACACAGACATATATGGGGAGCTGGAGCGGCTGCAGGCGGAAGATTACAAATGACTCAGCGTCTTTCTTGTGACTCAGGTGGAGCTTGTTGGGAATGATGTAGTGGTGTTCACTTTCTATTCCTAGCTTGTGTGGAGCCTGCCTGATAGAAGGAAGGAAGAGAGAAAGAACTGTGAAGCCATAAATTGCCCAGAGACGGGTAAACCACCTAAGCAGATAGACATCAGAGGTTAAATAGGAGCTAGGTCTGACAGATCTGCATAAACCAGTGAGGAGGTGTGCGGGTGACATGGCTTTTGGTAGCGATTCCTGTGAGAGCCTGGGATTAGGCTCTCATTAAGAGGAGCATATGTCTTGTTTAATAATATTTTAAGGTTTGCTTGTGGAATCTGGTTGTGACACCCCACTTCCAAAATGGGTATTGGGCAGAGACCTGAGTCTGGAAGATACACTTAGTTGATGGGATGACTAAAGGTGAATAAATTCAGTGTTTGGGGCCCAAATACACTGAGTATTGAGTGTCATGGTATAGTAGCACCTTGAAAAAAGCTGCTTGCTCCTGGTAACTGCCACAAAACTTCTACAGTAAATAAAATAACCCATAAAATAGATAATCAGGATGTGATTTTAAAAGCACTCAGGGAGTTAGGAACTCCACCCCCGTTGTTTCAGGACACATGAAGTACGCCACACTGGATCAGTAACTTCAAGTTCTTCGTTGCATCAATTTCAGTAGTTTTTCAAGGAAGAGGGCAAGCGCTTCCTCTGCCTTTTTTTTTTTTTTTTTCCTTTAACTGTGTTCTATCTAGATAATTAAATGCATGCAATGCATACAGCATGTACAAGTTTTATGTGACGTACTGCAAACTGTAACTGCCAACTGAAATACAAATCACAGAATGCCCTGACTGGAAGGGATCAATTTCTACATGAGGAAGATCACAGAATAGTTAAGGTTGGGAGGGACCTCTGGAGGTCATCTGGTCCAAACCTCCAGCTCAAACAGTGCCACCCAGAGCAGAGATCACTCTGGATGGCAGCACAACCCTCTGGCATATTGACCACTCCTCCCAGTTTTGTGTCATCTGCAAATTTGCTAAGGGTACATTCTGTGTTCAGTTCCGTTCAACATCTTCATTAATGATTTGGATGATGCTGCCATCCAGAGAGACCTCCCTTGGCAGCTAGGAGAGGTGGGCCGACAGAAGCTCATGGAGTCCTACGAGGAGAAGCACAGAGCCCTGCCCCTGGGAAGGAAGCACAGAGCCCTGCCGAGGCACCAGGACGTGCTGGGGGCCACCCAGCTGGAAAGCAGCTTGGCAGAAAAGGGCCTGGGGGTCCCGGTGGGCACTGACTGGACATGAGCCAGCAACGTGCCCTTGGCTAGCAGTAACCGGGGCTGCATTAGGCAGGGCATTGCCAGCAGGCCAGTAAGGTGATCCTCTACTCAGCACTGGTGAAGCCACACACAGAGTCCTGTGTCTGCTGCTGGGCTACCCAGCACATTACACGTGGAGATACTGGAGAGAGTCCAATGAAAGGATAGTTAGGGACTAATGAAAGGCTGAGACAGCTGGGACTATTTAACTTGGAGAACAAAAGGCTCAGGGAGAATCTTATCAATGTACATAAATATTTGAAGGGAGGGTGCAAAGAAGATGGAACCAGGCCCTTTTCAGTGTTTTCCAGTGACAGGTCAGGAGGCAATGGACACACACTGAAACAGAAGGTTCCATCTGAATGTTAGGAAACTTTTTTATTGTGCTGATGATTAAGCACTGGCACAGGTCGCCCAGAGAGATTGTGGAGTCTCCCTCTTCGGAGATATTCAAAAGCCATCTGGACATGGTCCTGGTGACTGTGCTGTAGGTGTCCCTGCTTAAGCAGGAGATTTGGACCAGATGGCCTCCAGAGGCCATCCAACTTGCCCTTCCAACCTCAACCATTGTGTGATTTTTTGGATCATTAATGAAGATGTTGAATACAGCTGGACCCGGTATTGATGCCTAAGGTACACCACTAGTTACTGGCCTCCAACTTTGCGCCACTGATCCGCACCCTTTAGTCTTGGCTGCTCAGACAACTTACAATCTGCTTCACTGCTCGTCCAGCCTGTACTTCAACAGCTTCTCTATGAGGATCTGATCAGAGACTGTCAAAAGCCTTACTGAAGTCTAGGTAGGCTATACTCACTGCTGTCCCCTAATCTACCAGGCTACTCATTTCGTCATAGAAGTTTATCAAGTTAGTCAGGCACAACTTGGTGAATCCATGCTGACTACTTCTGTTGGTTGTCTTGCTGTTCATGTGCCTGTAAGTGGTGTCCAGGATTAGCTGCTCAAGGTTCAAGGTGATGCTGACCAGCATATAATTCCCTGGATCCTCTTCCTTGCCTTTTTTGAAGATAGGAGTGACATTTGCTTTCTTCCAGTCTTTGGGCACTTGCCATGATCGATCAAAGATTATCCAGAGTGGCCTCGCAGTGACACCTGCCGGCTCCCTCGCTTGTGGGTGCATTCCATCAGGACCCTTTATCTAGATAAAAAATTGCTGAGGGTTCTCCTAGTCAAGAAAGACTGTCATTGCCTAGGATGTGAATCCTATCAATACAAAATCTTTGATCACTACTTTGAATTATCTTTGAGTGAGCATTCAAATGTCTGTATTGCATACTCACTTGCAGGTGGTTCGCTAAGTAAACATTGCCACAGACAGCACCATGGTCTGCTGGGTAAAGTAGAGAATGCTGCTTGCAGAGGAAGAACCATTCAGGTAAATACTTAAATGTTTTATGACTCCATAGGGATAATGTAAAAAGAAAAAATGGTGTTTGTTTCTTTGTTTGTTTGTTTTAAAGAGGCAATTTTCTCACTTAGAGAATTTCAGAGACAGAAAAAAAGATTTCACCTGCTGCAGCCATAAAGCCTTGGATCCAACCAAAAGGGATATTTGTTTCAAAGCATAAGTATTTATCCTCCAAATCTGGAAAAAAAAAGCACTGCTTTAACATTTCTGATTAAAATGTTTTATCAGAAGTAGTGCTTCAAAGAAACAGAGGATAGTGAACCACAGAGCAGAGGATCCATTTCTCCATTGTCATTATTTTTTGCAATGCCAACAAGCAGAAGGCAAAAGTATGCCAAATTTGAGATTTGAAATCTATGCTCTTTCACTGTGCTCCATTATAACCTTGTATATATTGGACTACAGTGTTTTTACCATATGTTAGAGCTTGAAGAGGCTTATGTTAAATGTGCAAGGAATGAGAGCAACACTTTGTGCATTACTGGGAGTGGTGGCACATTACTACAACTGATCATATCTTACAGTGCAATTTACTTGTGGTTTATGGAATAAAAAATGTCCTTACACGACCCCTTCTATATTTCTGTATATTGCACACAAAGGGGTGACATAACGGCAGACGTACAATACAGTGATACAGAGACAACTCTGGGCTCATTGGGAGCACCGTATATTTTAAAATTACTCCCCATCGTTTTCATCCTCAAACGAGTCAGTTCCCACTTCTTCATAGTCCTTCTCCAGGGCAGCTAGGTCCTCACGAGCCTCTGCAAATTCTCCTTCCTCCATACCTTCACCCACATACCAGTGCACAAATGCTCTCTTGGCGTACATCAGATCAAACTTGTGGTCGAGCCTTGCCCAGGCCTCTGCAATGGCTGTGGTGTTGCTCAGCATGCAGACTGCTCGCTGAACCTGGGCGAGGTCTCCGCCAGGAACTACTGTGGGAGGCTGATAGTTGATCCCAACCTGGAATTAGGAATATAAGAGAAGTAAGAAAAAAGTGCAAGAAGCAGTCACAGAGTAGAAAAAAGCGTGAGTAACATTATGGATGCTGTGGTAGAGGGGTGCCACTATCAAAACTACTGAATGGCACCTGCCAAAAAAAATAAAAAATAAGGATATACATAGTTTGATACGTAATCATTTTAATAGTTGTTTAATGCACACTAGCAACTTCCTGGCTTTCTAAACAGCTACACAACACTGAACATACAGTTTTACCAAGATAACTGTACAAACAGAAAGTTGGTACCTGGTTAAAAGTGTTCAGTTTATTAAGCAAGCTTTTTGAATGACAAATGTTTTCCAACGTTAATGTCTGTATTGCTGTAGAAATTATGGTTCTCAGCACTACTGTGTAGCCAAAGGAGACATGCTGTATAAGATTTCTGTGTGGGAGGGTTAATTGACAGCTTCCGTAATATCAGCATTACCTTTATTGAATGTATTAGTTTTAGTGTTTCCTTAGTTTTAGTTGCTGCTTCAGAGGGAACACTCACTGTCTTTTACACATTCAGCTCTGAAAACAATACTTCTTTAGATTTTAACTCATACACATCAAATATCCTTTTACTTAAGTATTTACAATTCTGTGTCAGTGGGATGTCATTAGGAGAAAGGGCACAGTTTATACACACACACACCTTTCTTAGGTTCATTCTTCTCACTAGTGAAAAACATGCAAGATCTAAAACTTTAAATACAAGTTTTCAGCTACTCATGGCATTCTTACCTTGAAGCCTGTTGGACACCAGTCAACAAACTGGATATTTCTCTTGGTCTTGATGGCAGCAATTGCTACATTGACATCTTTGGGAACTACATCACCTCGGTAGAGCATGCAGCAGGCCATGTACTTCCCATGTCGTGGGTCACACTTCACCATCTGGTTGTTGGGCTCAAAGCAGGCATTGGTGATTTCAGCCACTGAGAGCTGCTCGTGATACGCTCTGTCAGAGGAGATGATGGGGGCATAGGTCACTAAGGGGAAGTGGATGCGTGGGTAGGGAACCAGGTTTGTCTGGAACTCTGTCAGATCCACATTGAGGGCACCATCAAAGCGCAGCGAGGCAGTGATGGAGGAGACAATCTGGCTAATTAGGCGGTTGAGGTTAGTGTAAGTTGGGCGCTCAATGTCTAGGTTTCTGCGACAGATATCATAGATGGCCTCATTGTCCACCATGAAAGCACAGTCTGAGTGTTCCAGGGTGGTGTGTGTTGTGAGGATAGAATTGTAGGGTTCCACCACAGCGGTGGAGACCTGAGGGGCAGGGTAGATGGCAAACTCTAGTTTGGACTTCTTCCCGTAATCCACAGAGAGACGCTCCATCAGCAAGGAGGTAAAGCCAGAGCCAGTGCCTCCACCAAAGCTGTGAAAGATCAAGAATCCCTGCAGTCCAGAACAGGCATCTGTCTAGAAACCAAAAGAGAAAGGACTAAGAATAGTGGCTGTAAAATAAAGACTACATTTGCTTATTCTGAGGTGAAGGAGAGAGCAGTTATCAGCAGTATACAGGACATGTTTCAGGTCCTTCTTGAGAAGGAGTTGCTGATAATCCTGTTCTTTGCTTCCTTCACTGGTTCAATTTGTGATGGACAAATTAGCCTCTTACCTATAGAGCTTTTTTCTCTGAACTTCACACTTCTTTTAGTTAGTCTAACTGAAACCAGCAATGTACCTAATCCAACCTTCTGTATCAGTCTGGGTGCTCTAGTGCTGTGCTAATGATGAGGAGTTACATATTCAGAACCATCTTTTAAGAATATCTGGAGTCATACAACCAGAAAGTTAACTGCTGGACTTCCTTCTCTTGGATTAGTAAGGATGCCTCCGTATGTCTTGCAATTACTTTTCTAAACTGTTAGTTTGATTTGTAGGTAGGAAGCTTCCTGTTCTGCACTTCTTTCTTCAGCAGAACCAAACTACTACAAAACTACTGGGACTTACCAGCTTACGAACACGATCAAGTACCACATCAATGCTTTCCTTGCCAATGGTGTAGTGGCCACGGGCGTAGTTATTAGCTGCGTCTTCCTTTCCAGTGATCAGTTGTTCTGGATGGAAAAGCTGCCGGAAGGTGCCAGCCCGCACTTCATCTGACCAAGAGAGAGAAATTGTAAAAAACTGCGTGGCTGTGCTCCACTGCCAGCAAGTTGGGAAGCTTTCAGTCATGGGAGGCCTTGACCCAGAAATGAACAAAAAAAACAGGTGTTGGAGAAGGGAAAACTGTTTCCTAATAATATTTTCATTGTTGCATTCTGTTGATTTGTTGTAGGAACTGTATCCATCTGCAAAAGCTATTCTTTTCTCAAGAACTTTGACAAGTACAAATCCCAAGAAAGAACTTGGAAGAAAAAATTTGGGTTCTTCCCAGGCGCCCCAGTTTTTAGAAATCTCATTTTTTCCTGGAAAGAAACTGTCAGCCTCACACTTTGAATCCCAAGTGGAGAAAAAAAAGCAGAACTCAGGCGGCAAAAATGTCATGATAAACAAAACTAAGAGTTAAAGGTTTTGGCAAAGAAAAGTCATACAAACCATGAATACTAGCTATTGAACTGCTGGTGATCCTGCCATTTCTAGGTTTGTAACACCTACAGAGATAACAGAGTCACGACAGAATCTGGCATTCATTGTCACAAGAAAATTAATTTTATTCTGTCTGAAGGGAGACCAAGATACAAAGGGTGTGCTTCTTTGTTCTAGTGGAGGATGGTGACACATCATGGTAATATTAGGAAGAGTAAGCTCTTCTCCATTTTCTAGGAATGTAAAAAAATAAAATTATTTTTATACTGACCTACTACACTTGGTTCCAAATCCACCATTACAGCCCGTGGCACATGCTTCCCAGTGACTGTTTCATTGAAAAATGTGGTAAAAGAGTCATCGTAGTTGAGTTGACTGTTCTGGTCCTTGAAGGTGCCATCCGGCTGAATGCCGTGCTCCAGGCAGAAGAGTTCCCAGCACGCATTTCCTATCTGAACTCCAGCCTGGCCGACATGAATGGAGATGCACTCACGCTAGGGAGAGAGAGCAGAGAGAGGGTCAGGAAACCCAATGTGCATTAATATTCCTTATTCCTAACAGTTACTTTTTCCCAGCTTTTCAAAAAAAATGTTTGTCACTGGCAGTGTTTCATTTGTTTGTTCAGCCTCATGGCTACAGTGAGACTGTATGCATACAGACGAAAGGTTGGGACAGCTCTTTAAAAATGGAGCTCTATGTGCAGTAACACATGAGTACATGAAAGCAAGCTGAAAAAATACATAATTTCAGATACACAAAACCCACCTTTCCTCCTACGGATTGGCTATGCTGAGGAACACATCCCAGTTGAGTTTATTTTTACTTCAGGCTGGAACCTGACACAGCCATATGGTATTTTTCAACCGTATGTAACCCAAGACAGGTGATGTCTTTGGATCCTTTTACCCTCTGATAGCACACCAGAGTGGAAACTTGGAAGAACTCCTTTCAGCAGTATTCACCTCAGGAAATGATTTCAGATTCTCTTGGCTGAAAAATGTTCTTTCAAGCTCCTGAACCAGCTGTGAATTTTACACTGCAGGTGCACTGCTTATTAAGGCACTGTCACTGCATACAATGTGCTTATTTACGTAATTTTGAACATAGTTGTTGTGGTAGCTTTTAACGTTAATGAAAGGGAAACAACGTATGTAATACCAGGCTAAACTAGGCAGATGCCAACTGCTGAAAAGCCTTTGCACTCTGACTACAAGAGAATGAAGAACCTGGTGCTGGATTTTATAAGTTCAGAAAAAGAATCATAGAGCAGATAGTTCTGAGTTGGTGCAGACTTTTATGCCACTGAGTGAAGGGAAAGGAAGTTTTGTAAGTAAGGCAGTTACAGACCATGTGGAGTTTTTCAGCCTCAGTTTCTGCTTTGTGGCAATTGTAATTGTAGTCTTCTGAGCTCCACCTTTGTGATCTCAATAGCCCTGTCTACACTCGTGAGTGAAAAAGTCTGGATAGCCTGTGCTGACTGATAATTAGCACACACTGGCACAGTTTTGGCTTGTGCCAGTTCATACTTAACGAGAAAATGCTTAAGCACCATTCAGAGGACAACTTGTTGTCAAAAATGGTTTCCAGAGAGCAGCTCATTCACTACTGCCTGACTTCGGAGAGGGAAAGAGATGCCTAAGTATGAAGTGGGGTATGCTACCTCATCTCAAGGCCAGATAATGGTCCCCAATCATTTTTAGTTTGTAATGTAGATATATCCAATGACAAAAGAGCAGATATAACCAGTAAACTTATTAATATTATTATTATCAATTATTATTATTATTAATTATTATTATTATCATGTAACTGCTAATCCTGCAAACTCATCCTGTGACCTGACAGTCAAATATATCTTCCCCAAACACTAAATTCTCAGGCAGAATGTATGACCAGCAACGTCTCTGGAGCAGTTTTCTTCACAAATTAACAATAACTAAACCTATTTTTCAGAAGCAAGTGGAGTTTTAGAGGTCACCACTGCCACAGGTGGTCATCCTCAGAAGTTTACGTGAATGTGGAAAATCAATCTAAATATTTCATTCAAGGAAACATATTATTTCTATTTACCACTCATTTTTAAGTTGCTGACTCAGGATTCATTTGCGGCAGCATATGCAACATGCTCTGAAGTGTACTTGTGCAACCTTGTTTTTTTCAGTTCAGTTGTGCAAAAGTATCTGAGTTATTTGAGTGATGATGAGTCTTCATCGACTGGTATGTTGTAGTAGAGTCACAATCTGGAGGATTACTCAGGAGAAACTGAAGGCAAATTTGGGCTTAACGAGTTCAATTAATACTGATTTTGCACAATGCAAACTCATGCTCTTCATTTAGATGCCAATGTGAATCTACAAGGCTGACAGCAAGAAAGAAAAAAAATCTCTTTCCTTTTAAACACAGAAATGAGGCAAGGTGACTTTTTAACAGAATATCTTTTAGAGCAAAGCTACAATTAAAAGTCAAGCAATATTCGGAACCATTTTTTAAATCAGCAATCTTTTTTTTTTTTTTCCACAGATGGAACAAGTGAATGTTGCCTTAGAAAGTTAATATTGTAGATCTTAGTATAGGACTACAGTCAAAAACTGCAGAACCAGTTCCTTTCCTTTTAGACTGAGCTTCCAGTGGCACTGGTTTGAAGCAGTACCTCAACTCTGCCTTTTGAGCCAGGATTCCTGCTGTGACTCCTGGTTTCAATTCCCATCTTCTATCCCAGCTATCATTTGGAAATATTCTGACAAGTAGAGAAGACAGTAACAGGGATTTAATTTTGCATAGTAAATGGCTTTAAAATAGATGTCAGACTTTTAGCAGGAAAAAGAGTGGGCCTTCTTCAGAGTCACAAGCAAAGTAAACTGATCTCTACATGATATTTAAATTTTGAGCAGACTCCAAACTCGTATTTCGCATTGCATCACTGATGTGCTGGGACCTATCTTACAAATTGTGAACCTGACCTTTTATCCAGCAAGAGACAATAGAAAGGGTCCTTCATGAAATGAAACCTATGACTGCTTTGATTGTTAAAAAAACAGATTACTACCTGGCCTAAATATTTACTGTAAAAAGACAGGCAACTGTTCACTGCTATTCCTGAAACATACTCACTACCCTAACTCTAGACGGCTTGGTCTGTCTTAAGGCATGACGAACGTACAGAAGCGCGTCTCTTGCCTGTGAAATGAGCGCTCTCATTTTGGGTCTACAGCTGTACTGGCAGAGAGTAACATAGTTCTCCACACCAGAATAAGACTCAGTGCTAGACATAAATCAGTACAAGGTGATTTTTTTTTCACTTTACAAGAGGTTTTGAGATATTTCTATGGATCTATTCAAAATCTATTAAAAATATTTCTTATTTACTTCAGCACATACACGTATAAAAACCTTCATGCACTCCAGAAACACACGTATACATTGTATAGCTATGAACAGTACGGCCATTGGGGGTGAATTAATATAAAACAGACACAAAGGTAAGTAACCTCTCTGTTTTATTTCTAAAGGATTATTTCATACGAAAATCAACTTGTCTTGAGAAAATATAGTCACAACAGAGAATACTAGAAAGCAAAGACTCCCAATCTAATTTATCTTATAATTTTACTAATTTGAGACTCTCTGAAGAAAATGTTGGATCAGCATGCCTTACTGCCCCGGTGAGGTATTCTGACACTCCTTTCCTGTCCTCCATGCAATGAGTAGGGAGATCAGACTTTGTGGCACAAACCACTGATTATGGCAAATCCCCCTGGCTGCCCCACAATCCTCCCGGTCCCAGTATGGGGACATGGGTGATCCCACACATCCCCCCTTACCATGGTGTCTCCAGTGGTGTTCCCTTCCCTCTGGGATCAGTGATGGCAGGTCTTTGCAGGAGCTCAGCTTTGAGCTGCAGGGCAGGAGGCAGCCTGGCCAGTACCAGGCACCTGCTGCTGCACTTCAGTGTCATAGTGCTCTGGGGAATAGGTCAGAGACTCCTCAGCTCTGCCTCCTGCATCACCGCCTCCTGCCCTCCCAGCCACCCCACGTATGCAAATTCATCCAGATAGGCAGGGCTCAGATCTACCCCAGATTTCAGATTTAGTCCCACCTGGTTCTGCATGATTTTTGAATGTGAGTGCAGCCATGTAATACACTTCACATTATGCTTTCTAACACCTGAGTACTATACGTACACATCACATGCAAGAGAGATGCCATCCCAATTCCCTGTTCTGACAGCATGCCAAGAATCATTCCTAAATTTTCCAATAAAATCACTCCTAAATTTTCCATTCATTGTCTGACAGCATGCCAAGACTCATTCCTAAATTCCAATACAGAAGATCAAGAGTGCATAAGGAAACATGAATGGAACAGAGAAGGGCAGAAGACAAAGCAAAAAATGAGAAGTGAAACATAAATATAGTTACCGTTTTGAAGTGTGCTCTTAAATTCTGGCCTGACTTATTTCTGCCCATACTCCAGCTGTCTCTCTGTTAGCATTTCAATCCTTCTATTGCTTCTCTTTCTAGGTACAGCCATCTGGGCTCTCAGCAGCATGGGACAGCTTTCAGTGTAGGGTCTAACTTGTCTGTTGAAATACAGAAAGAAATTTGGTTCCCATTGCAGTGCTTACTGCAATAAATAGCTGGAGGCATCACACAAATGTTCAGACACCAAATTAGGGCAGTCTCCTCCACCTTTTTATTTCTTCCTGCATTAGCTCAGCACTGGAAAGAAGCAGCTTCACTCAGTGGACAAATCCTCATCATTTCAACTCTTTGGTTACAAAGCGAGAGGCACTCTTAATTACTTGAATCTGGGTATTATGTATCCCATCTGTAGAAATATGCTATTTAGTATGATGTCTGATCAGCAGAAATATAAATTCCCAATTCCTAAATTTTAGGTTAATCTACTTTGCTATGATATTAATAGATTGTTCTGCTACTGTTGACAACCAGCATCAAAGTATATTCTGCTTTAACTCCTACATTTTAACAACACAAAGTAGTTTGTGCTGTTTTTTATAAGCTCACATTTACTTTGGTATATTCTTTGTGATATTCTTTGTGTGTGTGTGTTCTTTACAAAAACCTGCAAATCCCTCCTCTGATTTTGGCTAGGAAAAGCTGCAGAGGAAGATTTCCCATGATAATTTCTGTCTGCTGCTTCTTCAGAAAGCCATCAGATCATCATAGCTTTAAGGCTGAGGAAGATTGCTCCAGTGTTGTCCCAGTGGAACTTGTAACATCCCAGCCCAGCTCCAGTGTGCTAGGCAATCTGAAATGTCAATGCTCACAGCGCCACCAGATGTAGAACTCTGTTCAGAGAATCATCTCAGGAAAAAGTCTCACAGCAAATACTTTAGACAATCATAGAATCATAGAATCATAGAATATCCTGAGTTGGAAGGGACCCTTAAGGATCATCAAGTCCAACTCTTGACACCGCACAGGTCTACCCAAAAGTTCAGACCATGTGACTAAGTGCACAGTCCAATCTCTTCTTAAATTCAGTCAGGCTCGGTGCAGTGACCACTTCCCTGGGGAGCCTGTTCCAGTGTGCAACCACCCTCTCTGTGAAGAACCCCCTCCTGATGTCAAGCCTAAACTTCCCCTGCCTCAGCTTAACCCCGTTCCCGCGGGTCCTGTCGCTGGTGTTAATGGAGAAAAGGTCTCCTGCTTCTCGACACCCCCTTACGAGGAAGTTGTAGACTGCGATGAGGTCTCCCCTCAGCCTCCTCTTCTCCAGGCTGAACAGGCCCAGTGCCCTCAGCCGTTCCTCGTACGTCTTCCCCTCCAGGCCTTTCACCATCTTCGTAGCCCTCCTCTGGACACTCTCCAACAGTTTCATATCCTTTTTATACTGTGGTGCCCAGAACTGCACACAGTACTCGAGGTGAGGCCGCACCAGCGCAGAGTAGAGCGGGACAATCACCTCCCTTGACCTACTAGCGATGCCGTGCTTGATGCACCCCAGGACACGGTTGGCCCTCCTGGAATCCAGTACCCAGATCCTCTTAGGCGTTTTTTGAGTCAACGTGTCAGGTCTCAGAGCTACCAAAGCACTCTGAATTACTAAACCATTTGCAACTTAGTCCATTGTCGTGGTTCTGCTCGAGTGGGCAGCCGAGCTCCACCACAGCCACTCTCTCACTCCCCCTCCTCAGAGAGGAACTGGGAGAAAATGCGATGAAAAGGGCTCAAAGGTTGAGATAAGGACAAGGAGATCACGTAGTAATTATTGTAATGGGCAAAACAGACTCTGCATAGGGAGATAGTAAGATTTATTGCTTATTACTAACAAGCTAGAGAAGTGATAAACAAAGGAAAGAAACCAAAAGCACCTTCCTCCCATCCACCCTCTTCCATCTCCTCCCCCTGAGCGGCGCAGGGGAACGGGGGAATGGGGGTTATGGTCAGTCTACAGCGCTTCTTCTCTGCCGCTCCATCTCGGTCACTCTCATCCCCTGTGCTGTGGGGTCCCACCCACGGGATGCAGTCCTTGATGAACTGATCCGGCATGGGCTTCCCACAGGCAGCAGCTCTTCCAGAGCTGCTCTTCCAGAGCTGCTCCAGATATGGGTCCGTACCACGGGGTCCATCCCTCAGGAGAAAACTGCTCCAACCTGGCTCCCCCACGGGCAGCAGCTCCTGCCAGGTCCCCTGCTCCTGCGTGGCCTCCTCTCCACGGGCTACAGGTCCGGCCAGGAATCTACTCCGGCAGGGGTCTTCCACAGGCGGCAGCCTCTGTCGGTGCAGGGCCACCTGCTCCACCGTGGTCTCCTCCACGGGCTGCAGCGTGGAACCCTGCTCCACCGTGATACTCCATGGGCTGCAGGGGGACATCCTTCTTCACCATGGTCCTCATCACAGGCCGCAGGGGACTTCTGCTCTGGCGCCTGGAGCACCTCTCCCCCTCCTTCTTCACTGACCTTGGCACCTGCAAGGCTGTTCCTCACTCCTCTCACTCTCCCAACTGCTGTGTGGTGCAGCGTTTTTTTCCCTGTCTTAAATCTGCTCTCACAGAGGTGCAAACAACATCGCTTATTGACTCGGCTCTGGTCAGCAGTGGGGCTCTTACCAAACATGGGGCAGCCTCTAGATTCTTCTCACAGAAACCACCCCTATGGCTCCCTGCTACCAAAACCTTGCCACGTAAACCCACTACACCCATGTCTGCACTTTCTCTGTTCCTCCATTGCCCTTCTCCCCTCTTCTGAAGTAGGCAGGGAGAGCACCTCTTTGAGTCTGTGTTAATCACTCCTCTGCCCATACCACTCAAACTCAACTGTCCCAAGACTACAGACTTGCCAGTCTTGTGTTGCCCAGCAGATCTGGGCATAGTATTTTTCATGAAGTGTGGATTTCCTTATTTTGTGCTGTCCACCCGTGTTTCTGAGTGCTTAGGCAGAAAGCCCTCAGTCTTGATTCAGAGGGTAACCTGAAAGCACAGCGTGGGACTGCTCCCAGGTACCAGTGAGTTTCTGTGACTCCGGGGTGGACCTCTAGACTTTCTCCAGAGAAAGACCAGGCAGATGTCCTGGGCCTGGATTCTTGGAAAAAAAAGTTATCTTGCTCACTGCTGTCATTCAACCTGAGTGGGCAGATGGTGACCTGGCCTCTGGGCTTAGCCTTCCTCATACAGGGTATATCCCATACAGGCCTGGTCACAGACTAGGCTCAGCTGGAAGGGTCTGGACGTGCCTCAAGGGCTTCCTGTGCTGTGCCATAGGTGCCCTCCAGAGCCACACAACAGAGCAGTGCACTTGGGAGTTACCATCTCCAATTGTTTATGATATTAGCAAAACCCACCTCTTAGAGGGATTAAAAAAAAAATAACACACATACAAAATCCTGCACCTTTTTCTCCATTTAAAAATTTTCTGAAAATAGATTTTTTTTTAATAATCTAGAGCTTAGAAGTACTGTACAACAGATCCTGAGCTCACAACCACTAAGTCCTGTGATCTATCAGTTCTCTTCTGCCTAGAGAGCTAAATAAGTTAACAGGCGAATGAAGGATGGCAACTTCTTTATCTCATGCAAGCCACCTCCTCTGCCAGATGTGCAGCCCTCCCTGCAGATACAGTTATCTAAGTGGCTCACTCAATACTGGAAGAATTGTAGATCAATTTAGAACAGTAATGTGCCAACTTACAAAACCATGCCCTCCTAAGAAGTTATTTGATATATTTATTATATAAAAACCTCTCTTGTTTTTAATTTTATGCATGTGTAGACAGTACATGGTGCATGTACTTTGCATTTCCCACGCATTGTGATGCCTTCCTAAGTGAGATGAATGGTCATACAAAGGCTTCCCTGTGTCCCTGTTAGAGCTGTAGCCTGTCGTTCTGTTGCCACCTGCTGGGAGAACGGACAGCATCTCGCTTCAGGTGTTCCTGAAATCCTTGTCTAGTACTTCAGTATCTACATAGGAATCAGCTATCTCGATAAGAAATTGCAGAATCATCTCCCATCGTTTGGGAATTTCAGAACTACAGGTTTTAAAATAAAGACCAACCATTCATTTTGCAAAATAAAAAGGCAAATTACATCAATTATGTTTCTGGATATGCCCACTTTTCTTTAAGACCTTTCAGCAAACCTAACAAACTGAGCCACCAGAAAGGAGACAACATTTCCTCTTAACAGTTTGGGCAAAACATAATGCAGTTCTGTAGCCCTGCTGGAATTGTAGGTAACGAGCATATGTTTCAGTGAAAACACTGATTTCTTTAAAATAAATTTATTTATTAAATATCAATAATAAATCCAGCATTAAAGTGTGGTATGTACTAAAGGGTTTTGGCCTGTCCGTCCCCTCCAGGTGTCTCTTTGTCAGCATTATGGGAAACCTTCCAGATAACTGTGAGCACTTAAGCAGGTCAGACATGCATGGGAAGACAGACATAATGTCAGCACAACAGGTTTATTGTCTTGCTTCAGGTATTGTTCAAGCACAGCACTGCTTGACAGGTAACCCAAACGTTCAGGGTTTGCTTTACCTTCTATTATACTTTTCCTGCCCTCCTAAGTAGTTGCACAAGCCTCTAGATTTTCACCACTGTCCCTGTTTTTCTAACTTTACACCTTTATTTGGTAATTTCAGCTTTAGTTAGTACCCCCAGTAAGCTAACAGCCCCTTCACTTTCTGCTGATTTGAGCAGAGTCCCTACGACTCCCCTTTCACTATATGTAATGTCTAGTAGCTTCTCCTGCTATCATCTCATAAATTTAGACATAGGTTAGTGCTAGGCAGCCACTTTTCTTCTTCCATTGTCTGCAACATCCAACAGTTTCTCTCGTTATCTTGTTACCAGTGTTACCTCAGGCCACAGCTGGCCATCTGCCTGCATGCCTTAACAATATATTGTTCTAAAATTCTCAAGCAATGGGAATATACAAAAATATACCCTATGAAGACTAAACCATGAAGCCATAGCTGTTCTTAGCCACTCCCCCTGTATCTATAACATGCATTCTTCATCATGGTTCTGGTTTATTCCATCTCAGTAAGTCTGATGGAGTTGGTAATGCTTCTGTCCAGCGTGCCACATTTTAAGGTCATTTTAAGGCCTTTGACTGAGTCATGGGTACTATTCGTTTAGGAATTCCAACACAACTGTCAGCATACTTGCACCTCCACACCACTCTAGTTATGATGGCTACACAGCTGCTGCACAAGCATAGCATGTTCTAAATCCATGTTGAAGCAAAGAGTTGCCCAAGTTGTGTCCCTACTCTTGGCAGCTGGCAAAATCACACCTTCCAACCACCCCACACTGTGGATTGTGCAGAAGCAAGGGAACTCAGACTAGGTGTGTGTTCTCAGCACCAACAGAATTCTCACTGCATCTTAAAGTAGGACAGCTTTACAAGCGTTATGTTTAGAATTAATATGAAATAAAGACTGAGAAGTTCAGGTAACTCCTCTTCACATAGTGTTTGTAGTAATGTGGGAAATTTTGAAGCAACAGAGTTCCTCAAATAATATTACAGCTGCATGGCTATCTTTATGTTGCATAAATGACAGTACAGAAGTCAGAGGGACTCTTCCTTCCACAAGTAAACTTCCTTTCAGGAATATATTAGCAAGAAATATGACAGCTGTTGTGTTCTGAGGCAAAGTAACTAATGATTAGCTGGTTATGTATCCTGTGATTGCTGTCTTGTGGTCTCATAGTGGACAACTCACTGTTTACATTCTACTAAGGTACCAATGGACTTGGTATGTGTGAGAAAAGTGAAAATGCAGCCACATGAAATAAAGAGACATAGAGACAATCTTATGCACATTAAAAGGCAGATTAAGTTTTAAGGTTGCCCTGCATCGTTTTCATCCTCAAATGAATCAGTTGCTACTTCCTCGTAGTCCTTCTCCAGGGCAGACAAGTCCTCTCGGGCTTCTGCAAATTCTTCTTCTTCCATGCCTTCACTTACATACCAGTGCACAAAGGCTCTCTTGGCATACATGAGATCAAACTTGTGATCGAGCCTTGCCCAGGCCTCTGCAATGGCTGTGGTGTTACTCAGCATGCAGACTGCTCGCTCGACTTGGGCAAGGTCTCCTCCAGGTGTAGCCGTAGGAGGCTGATAGTTGATCCCAACCTGCAAACAACAGTAAAAAAAAGACAGATGCAAAAAAAGAGTTACAAGAAAAGGGATAAAAAGAGACAATAAATGGGTTAAGAAAATTGTAGAGCCACTGGTGAGTGGAAGAAAAAAAAAGTAAGGAAAAACACAAATTATGTTAGTGAAATCCCTGTCAAGTCTAATGTCATTCAAGATATGTTTTGTGTGCAAGTCAGTTCCTACTCTCACCCAAGTAAAATAAAGAGCCACTGACCAGAACAGGACTCTCAATGAAGAAAAACACAAAAATGCGTTGATATGCTTGACAAAACTGGTGAAAGTGGCTGTTCATGGAGATACTGTAAAAATGTTTCACTTACCAACAATGTACTATTGATACTGATTTGCTGTGTTGTTTCTTTTTTTTTTTTTTTTTTTTTTTAAATCTCATCAAGGACACTCTCAGCAGTGTCTTTAGAATGTAAGCCTTATCTTAATCTTTCTTTTAGAATGCAATATTTTAAGTTTAGAGTCTTACAGGGTTGACGTTGTCCCAGTAATGAAAATAAAAATAGTATATACGCTCCCATTCACTTAAAGGCTTATAAGTCTGTGTCAGTGGGATGTCATTAGGAGAAAGGGCACAGTTTATACACACACCTTTCTTAGGTTCATTCTTCTCACTAGTGAAAATCATGCAAGATCTAAAACTTTAAATACAAGTTTTCAGATAAAATGAACTTGTTCATAAAACATGAAAGAGAAGCTCATGGCAGCCCTTCTCACCTTGAAGCCCGTTGGACACCAGTCAACAAACTGGAGGGACCTGTTGGTCTTGATGGCAGCAATTGCTACATTGACATCTTTGGGAACTACATCACCTCGATAGAGCATGCAGCAGGCCATGTACTTCCCATGTCGTGGGTCACACTTCACCATCTGGTTGTTGGGCTCAAAGCAGGAGCTGGTGATTTCAGCCACCGAGAGCTGCTCGTGATATGCTCTGTCAGAAGAGATGATGGGGGCGTAGGTCACTAAGGGGAAGTGGATGCGTGGGTAGGGAACCAGGTTTGTCTGGAACTCTGTCAGATCCACGTTGAGGGCACCATCAAAGCGCAGCGAGGCGGTGATGGAGGAGACAATTTGGCTGATGAGGCGGTTGAGGTTAGTGTAAGTTGGGCGCTCAATGTCTAGGTTTCGGTGGCAGATATCATAGATGGCCTCATTGTCCACCATGAAAGCACAGTCTGAGTGTTCCAGGGTGGTGTGTGTGGTGAGGATAGAATTGTAGGGTTCCACCACAGCGGTGGAAACCTGAGGGGCAGGGTAGATGGCAAACTCTAGTTTGGACTTCTTCCCGTAATCCACAGAGAGCCGCTCCATCAGCAAGGAGGTAAAGCCAGAGCCAGTGCCCCCACCAAAGCTGTGGAAGATCAAGAATCCCTGCAGTCCAGAACAGGCATCAGCCTAAAAAAAAAAAAAAAAAAATCAACAGGAAAAGTAAAGGAATAAGTGAACATATCTTAAATTCGACCCTCAGATAGAAACAGCAATACCCGCATGAGATGCACAGCAAAAGAGTTAGCAGTTTTACCAGAAAATCCACATCATCTGTTTTCCCCTGTAAATCTCAGGCTAGTGTATCACTAGAGCAATACATATACATGTATATATTTTTCCTAACAATAACAATGGTACAGCAATATTTTAAGGTTTTCCATTTAAGTCTTCCACTCACATGAAAGCTAAGCTTGGACATCAAGTAAACACATTTTTCTGTTCTGAGCCAATGACAGGAGTAAAAACAAAATGAGAGCCACTATCAAAAAAAATGTATGACATGTTACATCCCCTCCCACCCACCAAGTGTGTCCTGCTTCCAACGTAACAGTGCATACCAGTTTGCGGATACGATCTAATGCCATGTCAATTTTGTCTTTGCCAATGGAGTAGTGGCCACGTGCATAATTATTTGCTGCATCTTCTTTTCCAGTGATCAGCTGTTCTGGGTGGAAAAGCTGCCGGTAGGTGCCAGTCCGCACTTCATCTGAACGACAAAGAAAATGTACAAGCTTAGAAGAGAACCCTCATAAATTATTAGAAAAGATTTGCAAGAGTAAAACATCTTTTAGGATACTTCTGCTTTCTGATTCTCCGCGCTCCTGTCTTTCATTTAAATACGAAGAAAGCATTTTCCACAGTTAGCAAAAGAAAAATAAAATCACACACACACACAAAAAGATTAGAAGGGAACCTCCCTAAGTAGGTTAAATTGTACTCATAACCAGTGTGGATTTAGACAATAGTAAACTTCTGAGTTTATTATTAGTTAAGGCATCCATGACAGAATCAGTTTTCATCTAGTTGAAGGTGTCCCTGCCCATGGCAGGGGGTTGGAATTAGATGATCTTTAAGGTCCCTTCCAACCCAAACCATTTTATGATTTTATGATCATTTCAATTGAGAATAACATATTTTAGTAATATTTCCTATTTAAAACTTTGAATATTCTACCTGGAGGTCAAGATCATCCCTAAAGATAAGGGAGAGTCCTGCTATTTGGTGATCTGAGCTTTGCCACACAGAAGAGTTAATTCATTTCACTTTTCCAAGACTGGTTCTATACTGACCTACTACCGTTGGTTCTAAGTCCACCATAATAGCCCGGGGTACGTATTTTCTGGTGCTTGTCTCTCTGAAAAATGTGGCAAAAGAGTCATCATTGCTGGGTGGGTCGCTGAAGGTGCCATCTGGTTGAATGCTGTGTTCCAGACAAAAGAGTTCCCAACACGCATTGCCAATTTGAACTCCAGCTTGGCCAATGTGAACAGAGATGCACTCACGCTGTAGTGGGAAAATAAGGGGGAGGGTGGGAAGAAACAATGAGCATCCTAACTGTCTGTAAACCAATCCTGTCTGAAACCCCAAATAAAACAATGATTACAAAAATTTCCACAAGACTGGAATTAACAAAAAATGTTCTAACACTTATTTAAAAATAGGTAGATAAGTATTTTGTCGTGTGCAGAAAGAGACACTAAGGACAACAACTAGAGATTTTACAGCTGTGTCTACACATGATGTACATGGTCTATGTGTAAATTCATGTAAGCCTGTACAGATAGAAAAACTATATATAAATATACAAAATAAACTATAGTAGGTCCCAGACGAGGAATAGCAGCTAAACCCAGTTGTCTGGGACAAAGTACAGCTATGCTGCCTTACTGACATACAAAGAAAGCAAAGGGAATGAAGTATCTTCTGACGGCTCAGCTTTCTATGAAATGAGTGTTAGATGCAAAATAAGTTCATAGAAATTAAAGTAACTGGAATTAAAGTGTCCTTACAGGCTTATTTCATTCAACTCCTGAATGTTTCAGCTCATTCCCTGTGCAATTTTAATTTAATTTAAGAAGAGTTGACTCTTACTGGAAGTGTTTTCTACTAGATTCTCAAAACTGACTATGCAATCTAGGGAAACTGTTTTCTGTAGTCACAGAAACCCATCAATTTGTAATCTAGGTGTACCACTGTGGCACAAATTCAATTAGGACCAAGTAAAAAGCAATAAGGGCACCAAAGGTATGCAAATTCAAAAATACTTCAGCACAGTAACTTGTCATTATGCAATTAATTTCATTATTGTGCCACCTGCATCTATTTGTAGCATTGTTCCATAAGGGGAAAAAACAAAACAAAACAAAACAAACATGCCCCTGCATGCTTGAGAATAAAAACAGGACTGGAAACAAATGCTAAGAGAGGCTGTCCTAGTGCTTACTAACCTCACAAGGGGTTGTGGTAATCTTTTTGTTTCTCAATAACTGCTTTTGAAACCGGGCTCGACAGGCTTTTATTAAGATTCACCCAACCTCTCAACTGCAAAACCTTGGACGCAGTACAAGAATTACAGATTTTCCCTGGTTTAGGCTACTCAAAAAATGTGGAGAATCGTGATGGTCTAGAAAGACCACAGGTTGTGAACACCCATCTTTGGTCCCCCTCCTTTAGTCACGGCTCTAACACTGAAGCAAAAACGTCCCCTCAGCCTTCCCACCTTCACTCAGCCCTTGACCAGAGCAGGGAGGAAACAAAGGCCAGCCTCACTGCTCCTTATCTCGTAAAATAACCTGATCCTTTCCTTACCATGGTTTCTCCTGTGTGTTTCTTTTCTGGATTGGATGCAGAAGTGGTGGTTACTGATGTTTCTACTGTTGTACAGGCAACCTGATGCGAGGGGGACAGCGCATCCTTTCTTGGCTGGCGGGGGCCTGCAGCATCACAGTGGAGGCAGGAGAGGTCACAATCTCTCCCAGGCAACCTGCCCAGGGCACCTGCTCCAGTTACGTCACTAGCCTGCTTTCACCCAGCCCTATAGTCCGTCGTTAAGAAAGTTTTCCCAGGTAGTTCTCCATACAAAACATTAGTTTAAAAGGTAAAATAAAAAAAATAAAAGAGTTACAGCTGGTATTAGCAGCCAGTATTTCAACAGATAAGGGTGTCTTCACAAATAACTGTTTTCCTTCCTTGAAACGCTTACAACTGGTGAATCTGCTACTGGTAACTCATTTTAAAGAGTAATCATTTCAGAATTTCTTCATTAACACTTTCAAATGGTGGCATTTTTGTGTCTTTCTGACAAAGGCGACTGTGTCCTCTGTTCAGCTGCAGTCCACTTGCATAACTCCCCCTGAGTTGGGGAACAGGTTAGGCTGTAAGGAGTTCCACTTGGTTGGCTATTTCATCATCTGTGGACAAAATACATCGGATTATCTCCTGGCCTCCTTTTCTTTGTGACACCTGTTTAGCTGATCACAGACGACTGTGTTTCAGCCCTTTGGGTGCCTACACTGTGCCGGTACAAGTTCTTTGCATCCAGCAAGAGGATGCAAAAACAAAAAAGCAAAACTATCACTTGCTCTTTGTTCTGGAGATACGAGCAGTAGGTTCACATACACATGGCAGGCACACACACTCTCTCTGAATGAGCCTTAAATGATAGGATTCCTGTGGAACTATGCACGGCTACATCTTTTCCCTCCATGTTAGAATGACACCACAGAGAAAAAACGCAGCTAAATATAAGTAACAGGTACTTTATTCTTAGCAGTACTGATCTTGGCCACCCCAAGGTACACAGAGACACTTAAGTATTAAAAATATATATGCTGCACCTTTCACGGAAAGTAATTATCACACGCTGAACTCCTATGAAAATGCAGACCTGTTTCTACTGAATTAACAAGTCCTCTGCTTAATTCATGTATGCCCATGCAACGCAGACACATACTGAGACATCTCCAGAAATTATTTCACAAATCTGTAGTGTCAACACATTTAATACAAAAGCTTTGATACACATAATCACAGCACAAATAAGCAACTCTACAGTGAGGTAAATAATTAGTCATTTTATTGTGAAAATTAAATGTTGCAGGCTTACTATTAATTGCAAAACCAAAAACAAAACAAAACATAACAACAAAAAAAAAAACAGATTGCTCATTTCTGCCTTCTTCCCTCTCATGACGAACCAAATACAATACAAATGCAAAATCAGCAGTACTCAAGAGAAGTGGAAGTTGCTAACCTACAATTAAAATCAAGTTGAAGGTTAAAGTTCTGGTTAATGAGTGGCTGAGATATTTATCAGAATTTAAAAAAGTTATGTACGGTCTGTGCAGACCACTGATCCCAAGCCCCCAAAACGGGCAGCTCTGCCATTTAACTGAAAGCATTAATTGAAATCTAGAGCAAACAAATGTTTTTTAGGTAAACAGTCAAGTGTTGTTAACAATTTGGCCTGACTTCGGAGGGAAGTTTACTATTTTATTAGCTTAAAGTATGTAGAGCAAGGCCTTACAAAGTGGTCAGTAGATACAACCTAGGCAAGGTGATTACTGTTTTCTGCATTCATGGGTGACCTACCCCGCTTTATCTCACTTATCTCTATTGGGATAACTCAAGAAGAACTTGACAATATTACTTTAGCAGAGCACACACAGCACGATGACACCGGCAGGCTGCCCTCCTTGTAAATAAAACAGCAATAGCTGAGCTGCCACCTCAGCATATAGCTATTGCTAGAGACAAACAATCCACTTGAAGGGGGCTACTGTTGTAATACACTGCAGTGGCATGCATATAGGCTACTTTTCCCAAGTTTGGTGTGTTGGATAGGATTTGCCTGCCAGAACAGTGGCTTTGTTCCCCATTTTACCATTTTGACTCATGCCAATGAGCCCGAATCCTCTTGGCACAGATGCTAGGAAGGCTGCCTATGTTTGCCACAATGACTCCGTGCCTCTAAGTTATTCTTTCCAGCACACTTCACACACTGCTTCAGCAGAAGCACTATTTAAATAATCTGCACTCTCTCCTTTGGCATTACTCATTGTCAATCTATGATAGGTGGATGGAAAAGAAATCAATCGTTTTACTGCCAGTCTCCAGTCTCTGCTCCAGGTGGTCAAAAATGGGGTCAGTCTGCTAACAAACTGCCTGCAAATACAGCAATTTTCTTGCTACAGTTTTGGGAAGGCTTGGGGATCTCGGAGAAATCTCTGTCTACCTTTTAATAAGTTTTGTTGCGAATGATAGGACATTGCTAAATGGTTACCATGTAAATCAGGACTTTAGATGTAGGGGTGGGAAGATGGGTTCTGGACACACAGAGACTTTCTGACATCTACATAAACAAAGCCAGAGGTATGGAAAGAGTAAAACAATGCAACAACTTCCGTTGTTGTTGTTCAACTAGACAATAATATGGAATACAGTTTAAAAAAATAAACCTATTTCCTTACCACCGCCACGTGCTCCTAAGGATTACTGCCCATCAGGCAAGCACAAAGCACTGTCATTTGCATTTAAGAACAGCAGGTGCAGCACAACAGGATTTGTGGCACACCACCTAGGTTTTCTGGCTTAGAAATGACTAAAATCAAGGGCGCCTGTATGAGGAGGTATCAGTCACAAGAGAAACTACAGTGTTCAAACTGCAACAGGCTTTGTTTTCTGCAGCGTTTTTCTTCCACAGGCTTGTCCTACATCCCGTGCTGGATGAACTGGGCATTTTAGATGTCTCCAGGCAAAACAGAGTGTTTCCCTAATTACTGGTACTCCTCTGCCTTTCACAGCCATGCTTCCAGGGATGTGATTTCAGTTGTTAAGTGAACCGCCCAGTATTGCAAGGATGGAACCTTCTTCCAGAACATCTCAGGCATCCTGCTTCCTAACTGTCCATACAACTCGCACTCAAGAGCTACATCCAAATGAGCGCCTTCATCAGTTGTAGATTATGGAAGGCATGGCTTTACCCTAGAGCTGGACAGACTGGAGCTTAATAGACAAGAAAACGTCAGGGATACTTGGCATGGTTTCAAAATTCCTATACCACTGTTCCCTGGCTGAAGAAAGGAAGGTACTGCTAAGCAGGAGTTTACAGGTGGTCATCTCCATTAGGGCACAGATCTCAACAGAGCCTCACGAAGTCCTTGAGACAAGCTGACACTTCCGCAGCAGCAGAGAAGAACATGTTCTGTGGTGGAATACACTTAATCTCGAATTGGAGGCCTATGAATTGGAGACAATACAGCTGCCCAAGCCTGTCGGAAGAGCTGGACCAGTTTGCAAAGGAATGGCAATGATGTGGGAGAAGCTGCGGAACAAAACACAAAGCAAGACAGTTTTACCTTTTATAATGAAAGGCTACGAAATACTAAACATACTGAGACAGAACTAATCCAACTAGAGTTAATGGAAACCTATACATCTTAATTCCTTCTGCTTAGTTCAGTACTTTGGACTTCACCCCAGGCACGACTCCCATCCCCAGCAAGGTTTCTGCAGTATTTTCCAGTGGGCAGAATAGCTACAGAGCGCCCACCACCCAGCAGAAAGGGTGTCTCCAGCCAAAGAAAACACCCACCCCCTCACACATCCCAGCAGCCACATTCATGTCACAGGACCAGCCCGTTTGTCGGTGACAGCTCCAGCCACCACTTGCAAGGCTCCAGCATGAGGAGCTCAAAAGCATGAGCAAGTCTCCGCTTTCCTGACAATACAGCCCTCGGAGGCAATCACTCTTCCAAGAGCCATTCACCTCGTAGCACCTCAAGGTGGCAGAGGCTGAGTGTAGGACAGCCCAGCCCACCTCCCTTAGCCAGTGCCTCGTCTGTTGGAAAGAACTGAGGGTGGAATAACGGTTAACAGGAAACAGACTCCTGTACAGCTGCATCCTTCTACGCGGATTGCAACGGAAACATTTGAAACATGCCCAAATAGTACATTCCTAGCCAGTTTTTGTGTCTCCCAAAGGTGAAACATTCATACAGACCAAATCTATTTAAATCAGCAATTGTCTTCTGTAGCCATTAAGGGATTAAAAAAAAAAAAAAGGAAATCTTAATACCATACCTGGATCTAATCTCACTACCACAAGGTACAGCAGAAAAGTAGCCAAGAGCATCTTTTTGTAAGGAAGTAAATAGAAGTGGCTTGACATGGACCTCAGTGCTCTTCGTAGCAACGTCAACATAGTTAAGAGCTTTTGGGACAGAGCACCTAGAAAATGAGAATAGAGAAGCTGTTAGGGTAAAGTTAAAAAAAATAAATCATACAGATACTAGGAAATTATTATAAATAAGGTAAGACTATTCATATTTTAGTTGGCCTGAGAGGTTTTTGTGGTTTTAGTGTTTGTTTTTGTTTTTGTTTTTTATATATTATTCTTATTATTACTATTATGATTTTGGTGATTTTAAAAAGGGAACAGAGAAACAGTACAAATTTATGATATAATTATCCATTCATTTTTTAAGCCACCAACTTATACCACAGTAGTGGCAGCTTATCTCCTGGGAGATAAAGTGATTTACAGTGCTGGAGAAGCAGAGCTTGAAATGCCAGATGTGGATTCTTCTCCATGGACTCGACTTCTACTGCAGAAGTAGTAGAAAATACAAAGAGTCAACAAAGTGCCTTCATAGGATGGCTAGTTAGATTTATTTTCCTTAGTACAGCTTTTTTTCTGTTTGTATTTTTTTAATATATAATAAATTTATTACTAAGCATTTTAGAACCTGGAAAATTATTCTCATCTCTGAGTACTGCTCGAGACTAAATATGGTTTTTAATTGTCAGCAAACAAATAATTGTCTTCCACTTCCTTCACTGACACCCAGCAGGACTTCCTTGTGGCTGGTATGGTCCGACATCATTATTAATATGTACTTAATTCTCACTACCCTTTTTTAGCAAGGGATGAGCAGGATTGTGTAGGTAGTACAGCAAATCAGTTAGAGCCAAATGTGAAGAGTCATTGCACAATTGTATTTGAACAGAAGCTACTCACTCGCTTAAGGATGTGTTCCATAAATGGCTTTGGTTGCCATCTCACTGGTAAAAGGACACCACTGCTACATAACCACACTTAAGGAAGAAAAAGCAATGGAAAGGTTGGTAAGAGATTACATTGCTTCTTTCCAAAGCCACTGCTCTGACTCTGGTTTCAAACAGCAGCAAATGAGATGGTTTCAATGATCACAGGGCCTGCAAAAGTTTTTACTCTTGGAACTCGCTTCTCTTTATGTGCCAGTGAGAGTTTGCTGTCTGTACACGCTGCACAGTCCTGAGTGCTTGTGCAAGTTGTCTCACCAACAGCTCTAGAGCACAAACAGATTTTCTGGGATGGACTATTACAGATTATAAGGAAGAGGGCAGACAGTTGATAGGTACTAACACAGAACACACAGATGTTGGTGGCCAATCATAGTCCATATTGAACTATTCTGGTAATCTTTAAGATATGTGTATCTCTAAAACTTTAAATAGATAATTTTTTTTTTAAAAAAAGAGTACAAACAAGAGGGAAAGCCTACCCAAAACAGTCTCTGTTGCTTTGTCTTGCTCCTCTTCATCGGTTGAGTGCATCTCTTCCTGTTGAGTCCACTGACATTGGCTATCACAAATGGTCTTGAGAAATGCCAGCTTCTGCTCACTGTTTAGAACATCACAGCTGTCTACAAGCTCTTCTGCCGCCTTAAATTGGCCAAGTGGAAGCAACACATGCAGCAGATAAAGCTCCATCAACGAACTGTACTCAGGAAGTCTCTTATTGCTTAGGTTTCTCAGCCAGGTAGTGCCGACCTCCAGCATCACCTGGGGCTCTCCCACTTTGCTATACAACAGGATACTGCAACACAAGAAAGAAATAATAGAAAACAGTAATCTTGTGAAAGTTGGGATCACTAGCAATTACTACCCAGAAGTACCTATGGTTAAGGCCGGCAGCAAGGTTTACACTTGAGGTACGGAGACATGTCCCAGGGGAGCAGTGTGCTCTCAGAATCACACTGGCCCAGGCATTCCCAAAGGCAGCAAGAGCATGTTCACTACTGATTATGAACCCGGACGGGGGAAGAAAAAAAAAAAGATTCTGCAAAAGAAACAAACTCGGGTTTTTTATTTTATTATTCTTCTTTGTGAGAACAGGTCCCACGTTCCACTTTCATCCTTGCAACCTGCAAGGTGAAAACATCACACAATTTTCAGGTCTGGCCCGCTCTTAACTACCGCAGGCCCTGTGCACGCAGCAGCCACAGACCCACACTCACCACAGCTCCAGGATCTTGGGAGGCAGGTGCCCAGGGAACTGGTAATACCGCAGGAGCCACGACAGCACTTCTCTCCAGCGGTTCATCTCAGCCAGCGCCTGGATGCCCACCACACAGAGGGAGCACTTCACCTCTGCAGGACTGGTAACGAAGACAGACACGTAAGCGCTTCTTATAACCGAATTTCCCACTGCGTCCATTCTTACGAGCTACTTTGGCTAGCTCTTTGCAGAAAAGCAGAAAGCCCCTAAAAGCGCGGACCACCCCCCCTCGCAGCCCCGGGCCGCCCAGCCCGCAGTCACCCCCGCGGCCCGGAGCCGCCCCCCTCGCACCTCTCGGGGCCGCTGCCGGTGCCGCTGCCGAGCTCCAGGCTGCTGCAGCCCGCCTCACAGCGCTCCAGGGCGGCGGCGAAGTCGCGGTGCAGCACCAGCAGGTCGGCCGCCTCCTCCAGCAGCGAGGCGGCCTGGGCCGGCAGCGGGGACCAGCCGGCGGCCGGCGCCCCGCTCATGGCGGCGGCGGGCGGGCTGCCGCTGCCGCCACGACCCAGCCCCGCCGCCCGCCCGCACCCCGATCCGCCTCCAGCAGCGCCGCCGCCGCCGCCCCCACGGGCTCCTCTCGGGTGGGACGAGCACCGGGAGCCGCCCCGGCACCCAGGGGCCGCCCGCTCCCCCTGGGAGGCCGGCAGAAGGCGGCCGCCACCGCCCCCCGGCGGCGCCAGGGCGGCCCCGGCGGCCATCTTCTGTGGCGCCCGCCGGGAGATGTAGTCCCTGTCAGCCTCGGGTGGCGCCCTGCCGAGGGGCTGTGTCTGACAAAATTCTGGCTAGAGAGCACCCGAGGGGTGTTTATTTGGGCCGCTCGTTCAGCAGCACCCTGGGGATAGGTGCTGCCCCAAGGGAGGACCGCCGTGCCACAAGCCTGTACCAACACGGGACATCTTTATTTAGGATCAGGGCACGTCTCTGGCTTTGCCTCGGTGCTAAGCGTTCAGGGGGTTAACCCAAGAGAAGGGGATGCCTGGCTGCCAAGGGGAGAACGACTAAACCCAAAGAACAACTAAACCTCCACCTCGGTGCCAAAAGCAGCAGGGGTCAGCGCCCCGCCAAGGTCACCGCCTTGTCCGCTCGGCGGCCGCCAGGTGTCACCCGCAGCACGAGCATTGCCGCCTGCCAAATGCAAAGCTTTCGGGTGCTGCTTTGGAGCAAGGCGATAAAGTTGTGGTCCTGGGGTTTTCCTCGCCATAAACAGCCCGTGGGAGAAGGGCCTTGGAGTGCCTGGTAGTGGGGGAGCGCTCCCTGTGCGCTCCCTGTGTGCTCCCTCTGAAGCTTGGCTTTGCCAGTGGGATCCTGTGTTGGACAGGCTTTCCTCTCCTTGGGTTATAGAATCTTTAAGGTTGGGAAAGACCTTCAAAATCATCTGGTCCAACCATCACCCTACTACCATGTCCCTGAGCACCAGGTCCAGCCTTTCCTTGAACACCCCCAGGGATGGGGATGCTCCTCTGGGATCTTTTCTTCACCCACCCAGCGGCCGCTGCTTTAAGCAAATTAAACTATTAAATGGAGTTGGGTAATCATAACAGTATCTCCATCAGTACCCTACAGGCAACAATATAAAAATGTTTCACATTCTTCTTTAACTGGTATTTTAAAACAATAGGGTGTCTTGGTTGCAAAATAATTATTGCACTCTGAAAACTCTCTTCAGAAATGAATCTGTACAGAAGAGGCAGGATTTATTATACTGTTTTGAAATGCTGAACCCCTACTATAACTGTTTAATTAAATAAACCAATGTTACTAATGCAGAACATGTAAAAGAGTGAAGCACGGTTTTTAAAGGAAGTTTCCATGCTGTTTCAGTGCTGGATATGGGGAACAAAGTGTGGGGAGAATCCATAAAAATTGGTGCTAACTCTGTAAGTGGCTGCTTACAGGTGGCAGGACCGAGTGCTGGCACCTCAGGGTGACGGTACGAGTGCTCTGCAGCAGCAGCAGCTTTCGCAAGGTGATGCATGCGTGTGTGCTGTGCCATGAGCTGTGGAAGAGGCCCCAGACAAATTAAGCTCATTTAAGCCACAGCAGAGAAACATTGCAGAAGGCAGGGCCCAGCAGCTAAGCAAAGGCGGGGATAAAGCCTTTCAGACTTCTGTTACTGTTGCCTGGCTCTTGCAATTTGGAAAACAACATTCCTTTTTGGGAACTACAAGTCCCAAAGTGCACTGTGGGAAGACTCTGGCTTGTACCAGCTAGTGCCCAGCACAAATTCCCAAATATGGATAAGGAATCAATTTTGAAAAAGCCTCACACTCACCAAATACTCCTCACTGAGACGCTGAAAAGGAGAGAGACAGCATGAAAATGAGGTGAGTCTGCAACATGCAAAGGTTTTGTTCGAGAATGCCTCTTGGGGAGAGCAGCCAAGAATATTCTGTTCCGTAGAAGGACAGCACTGCGGTGCACGGGCGATACGAGAACTGTGGCAGTGGAAAGGACTTGGAAGTGGGATTGTTGTTTCAGGTGGGCAAGTAAGCATCAGGAGCTGCTGTGCTGCGGGGTGAGTCAGATCCTGTTTCCTTGCAGATGCTCTTTATTAATAAAGAACTATGGAAAGATACATGAGCTGCAATAACACTGCCGTAAGTGAGAGGCAGAGAAGGGCAGGGGAGAGGTAGGAGCTGCGCTAAGCAGGAGTTGCAGTGCGGTTGGTTAAGAAGCTCTGGTGGAACAAGTAGCCTTCTAATAGTGATAATTACAGGTGAAATTAATGTCTCTGTAAGGCATGGCAGAATGTTTTTGTACTTCACCCCTCTTCCTAGAGGGGACAGTGTGGTGCCTTGAAGGCCAAACTCATACCATTCCCTGGCCTGCAGAAGATGGTAACGCACAGAATTGTGTAACTTCAGGCCACGAACAGCTACCCATTTACTGGCAATGTGTTGATGAGCCAAACAAAATCCTTCTGTGACGGAACCGTCCCAGGGGAGGAGAGGGATGCTCGACCTCCAGCCTCAGAGGAGCAAAGTCCCAGCGGCCTCCCTTCGTTTCCCTGGCACTCTCCTTGCAATTCAGGTGCCGTTCGTGAGCCTTATTTCTCGCTGCCATCAAGTGCAACCACTCGGCCGGCTCCACAGCCTCCTCCTGCTGTGTAGGGCCATGGTGCGGTGCTGCAAGTGTAGGAGGTTCGGCCAGGACAGGGAGCGAAGCGTGAGGCGGTTTGGGCTGGTAAACTGAGCTGTCACGTGTGGACGCTCATCACCAAATCAGAATGACGCTGTTTTTCCAGCCTTCCCGAAATGAGAAGGGCACAGACTGTTTTCAAAGCTGTAAGAGTCACTCTTGTACCTGAATTAGCCTACGCAGCAGGGCTATTCCCCTACAAATATATTCCCCTGTGCTCCTGCTTCCTGGATAACCATTTATTGTAACCAGAAAAGCTGAATTCAAGCAAACTTGCTTAAGAAGGAGCATCACAGTGGATTTTGTGTTGTGAGTGTTGAGGCCTGGCTCCTTGCTCTGGTCTGAAATCTAGGATTTTTGGTTGTGGTCCTCCTGATTTTATACTGGAAAAGGAATGAAGCAAGTTGCAGAGGGGCCTTGTTTGTGTCTTCATCAGCTGTGAATTCACAGGTTCCCCTCCTCCTGCTCCTGCGAAGCAGTTCAAGGAGAGTTTAGAGTTACAGGCACCTGTGGAAGGCCTCCTGAGGCAAATCGCCTCAAGTATTAATCCAGATCTGACCAGCACGCGGTCACAGGGCCAGGGAGCTGGCAATCAGTCTTTTCTGCGGTCTCTTCTGTGTCAGTAGGCTGTTAATGCGAGATTAGCAGCATTAGGGAGGCTTGAGATAGAAACTGTGAGGCCCTACAATTTGAGCTGAAGCGAAAGAAACACCTTTACGTCCAGACAAAAGCACAGAGTAGAGCTGCACGTTATGAAAGGCATTATATGCACAGCTGAAGGGAGCACGGTTTCTAGAAAAGCTGTGGAGTTTTGCAGGACTTGGTAGCTATGTATAAGGCAATGAGGGCCACAGAGAGAGCAGGCCCTGGTGTGCAGTGCTCCATCTTCACCACCACGTGCTTTTGTTTGGGTCTGGCTAGGCCATTACATGCTGGAACCTGTAATTCACCTGTAATGTCCACAAGCGGTGCACCCCTATTTAATATGAAGATATCTGGCTGCAGTTCCCTTCAGTTAGCCCAAACTCAAGCCCCCTCTAGCTCCCGGCAGGCCTTCATTAGAGCCCCCGGTGGTGTGAAGGTGAGCACTTTCCACCTGTGCATTGAACAGATGGCCAAGCATGACCTTCTGCTTTCTATTTTACTTAGCGTGGGACAGAAGCAAATGTATTTTGTTGTTTTAAACATAGAAGTACTGAGCGGTGACTCACCTGATGTTGAACCCCCCTGCTGGTGTTCCTAGTTACTGTTTTTTAAAGCACTCACCTCTTATTTTGGCTGCATGAAAACCCAGATAACCAACAGGCAAGGATGGTAGAAGACAGGAAAGAAAACCACAGGGGTAATCATAGCTACAATCCTGCCGGCGTTGTCACATGGCATTGAAGGGTGAGCAAATCCCTGCTGTAACGTTCACCACTGAACCACAACCACTGTGTAAGGTGCAAACACTGGAAACCAGAAGACTGGAAATGCAGAGTTGTTTCCACAACTTGTAGTAACTTGAGTTTTTCTTAAATAATGGCAAAAGCTTCCTGAAACAAAGGGTGATTTTGAATTGATTGTGGCTCTTTCTTTGTTTCATGCGGAGCAGAATGCCAGACTTGGCAAGGCAGCAGCCAGCTCATACCAGCTGTTACTTTTTATTTCATTGTTACTGTTATAATAGTAATAATTAGTGCTGGGTGGGGTATTTCATAGCTTTAAGGTGACCAGTTCGGTTAAAAGCCTAAGGCTTCTTCTTTTCTGCAACCAGTTATTATCTGTGAGAACATACGGAAGGCTGTCATCAGTGTGGGTCAATTAAATCCTGTCTGCCTGGCACTGCATCTCTTCGCTCGCAGATTCAGTTGCATACCCTTCTAATGGTTAATATCTCTTCTTAGAGCCCCACCTGCTGAAATCAGTTGGTATTGGTTTATCTCTATCTTTCTTCTTTTCCAAAAGTGAACAGTGTGCTCTCATGGTTGGGAGAAAAAATCCTGAAAGTACTGACACCATATGGCAAATAAGAAGAAATAAAAGTATTTTCTCAAGTCATATTGTTTTAACCTAGCTCCATAACTCCTCAGTACTTGTCTTTTTCAGTGTTTTTAAGACATCTGTGCCCCATTTTTAATGCAAGCTTTCCATGCCCTCCTGTCAGTTATCCCTACGAACCAATCCTGCATGCTCTGCGTGAGTTGCAAACTGCAGCAGACGTCACAGACATTAACAAACCCATTCGCGTCTCAGACCGCTGGTCCTGGCTCTTATGTGGCTGGGTCTTGTGATGCCCATAGAAGCTGCAGCTGGAGGTTGTTTTAGGAAAGCTGGCAGCGCTGCGGAGTTGCCTGGTAACAGCATCCATCGCTGGGAGAGGATCGGCTGGGGAGGGACTGTGCACTGATGCAACCTCTGCGTCTGCTGTTCCAGGACACACGTACCATACCGTACTGCTGGGCACCCCTTGGGCGCCGGGGCCTCGGTGGGCAGGACTTCCTGGCTTGTTTTGGAGAGTAATTAAGAAGCCACTCTTTATTTTATTATTTTGTCTCCAAGCTTTTGTTACCTAGGTAATGAAACAGCAGCATCT